GGTTTACAAGTCTAAATTGTCTACGCAACAAAAAGACCATGTAAACATCACGTAGATTTCACGTAAATAATCCGTGTAGACGTAATCTTGAAATCTACGGCACAACCCTGCTTTTAATTTCAGTTAATAATTTTTTTTGTGACAGTATATGTTTTTTATCTGTAATAGCCAGAACTTAGCAATGACTGCACTATAAGGCGGTAGCTCTTATAGCTTATAAGTTTGATTCAGCTATTGAAATTTAGCTACTATTACTAAGTCATTATTTTTTGCGTGGTGGATGGAGAAGGGCAGGAGGAAGCTCGACGAGGCATCGTCGTTGCGCGATTATCGTTCATTGCGAGCAATCGCGGATTGATTTTACACGCGCGGGGTCGTCGGGTCCCGCCAGGCTGCCGAGCGCGAACGAGACGGGTCCGCGGGGGATAGACGTGGAAACGCATTTGCAACGTATACATAATGGAAGTCACCGCGATTGTGGCACGCAAACTGCCGCGGGGATGGCGTGTACGAGAGGGAAGAAATTCCTTTGTCGCTTCCCCCCTTATCGATCCCCGCAGCACACGTCGTCGATGATACTCTCAACAGAGTGTTTTATCGCAGCACGCGACCGTCTCGTCCCGTAATGTCAACACTGTCTATAGGGATCTTTCTCAATTTTTTCCCTCTTTCTCTCTCTCTTTTGTCAATATATATTGCAGAAATGTACCGTCTTCGAAGTACCTTTCGAGTCACCTTCGCAGCTCCGGCAATTTACCACGGTTGACGTCGCGAGAGAGAGAGAGAGAGAGAGTTTGGATGGCTCACTGAGGAAATCACTGTGATTCTCTCAATATTAGTTAGAATTCGATTGGACGCACTCAGTGAATATTAATGTCACTACACACCGTTTACTCTGTATGAGAAAGTGAAATATCTTGAATAACAAAATGCTCAATACATATTTTAGCAAATAATACAATAAAGTAGGTACCATTAAGAATTTCACGGGAGTTCAACTCGTTTTTATATATTTATATTAAACATACACTTTTACGTTCGATTTGTTGTACAACAGTTTTAATATTCACCGAGCGCGCACTAGTGCGTCTAATCGAATTCGCTATTAAGTATGTACATGCTGCAATCAAGTACAGAGATATAATATTGCGTTAAGCAACTGATTGATTTATAATAAAAGTTTCAACCGCGCGCTTCGCGCTCGACGTCTCCATTACCTTAGTATCGTTCGATTAAATCGTCGTTAACGTTCGCTCAAAAATAATTATCGGGTATAGAAGGTAAAGCGAAGAATTTCTACAAACTGTAAAAAGCGCGCCCGGTTAGCTCGGGATACGCGAAATTAACAATTCATATTCCCGATCGCTGGAACTTGCGCCGAGCCGCGCCGCGCGGCGCGGAGCGCCCACCTTTGACGTCCTTGTTCCAACACGCGGCCCACCCTCTACCTTCCCCCCTTCCCCCACCCGCGAGGCGAAACTCGAAATAATTACATCGCGAATTCATTTACGTGCTAATAAAGCGGTCTTATTACGACGCCGTATTCGTTTATAATGAAATAGACTGTGTCACGGGACCTATCCTGCGGGGGAGGGGGGGGGGGGGGAGCAACAATGCACCGCAATTAAAAGTATGCATTTACAGAGGAAAGTCTCCCTGTTACCGTACAATTTCATAAAGAGGCAATGCGACAAAGGAAACGTACTTTGAGCGAAACGTGTGTTTTTTTTCTTTCGCGTGATTACACGGAACGTAAAAATGGTGACAAAGCTATACGATATCGAAATCGTACACATCGGTCGTGCTGATTAAATCAAGGTAGCCAATTAGGGATTGCTTTAAAGCGGCGTGTAGTAAAACAGGCGGCAGAAGTGAATTTGAAAAAATAATCGATTACCAACTCCGAATGAAGTTCTTCCCTTTGAAATTTTTGTCGCGTCAAAGAGTTAGATGCTGCGAGTTCAGCTCATTAGCGTAATTGTAGTTTGACGGCGATTGTAGCTCCTGAATAATACGCGTGTTTACGCTGGCAAATGGCGGCCGCAAAGTGGAGCATTTTTTTAATTGCCAGATAAGTCGCGCGATAGTCCGAATTAATGCTTTTCGTTGCGACTGGACCGGCGCGGCTCGTGAGTATAGCAATTATAATCGTCCTGTCGCAGGATATGACAAGCGGAGACGAACAATGCGAGAGACAGGGAAAGAGAGAAAGAGAAAGGAAAGGGAATAATGCGCAAAACGAGAAATATACTTTTTTTTAGGCAGCCATCACGAAGACAAATTAATAGCACCGCGGGCCGTACATAACGCCCGGTGGAAATATCCTTTCGCTCATTTTTTGTAATACACGCTTCACCCCCCCTTCCGCGTGACCCCACCCTCCTGGTCTTTTTTTTGGCTAAACGTATATTTTTACTACATTTAGTCGGCTGACGTACCACCATATTTTACTACTTGCCCGTGTCCGGTATCCCGGAATAATTCGCGTGCGGTTTCGCCGCATGACAAATGTTTCATTAACCGCTGTCATTCCTCATAACGTCATCTAGTGATAACTGTATAGGGGCCACTCGGCGCGCGTGGGATGGACTGCGAGGGTAGGTCCTCTCTCGCGTGCGCGTTTTTTTGCAACGTCCGCGTACTTATTCCAAATATGAAAAATGGAATCTGCTACGACGACTGCTAACTTTTAACGTCGTTGACACGTTTCTCATATTACGGCTGAATACAACTGTATTTTTGTACTTCATTCGTTTTCAAAGCAATAACGCTCTATTCTTAACTCTTCATTTATTAGCAGTGACGTCATATTAGCGGTACATTTCAACATTTTGAACAAATTAATCCTCTTTCGCCATATCCCGAAATATAACAAATCTCCATTAATTAATAAATTCGGTTCTTTAATTAATGAATAATGCACGCAAAAATGTAATTCGTATAAGAGTTATTATTTTTATTAACGTATAACAAACGACATTGTACCGAATACGACGCGTGTTTTGTCTCAAATGAACAAATATTACTACTCAGCGTCTTGCTCTCCAGTGATACTTCAGTGCTAGCTCTCCGTAAAACTATTAAATCCGACTAATTGCAACGGGCAATTCGTGGTATGATGCTCACAGAACAGCGGGTCCTCGTGCCAAGTACCATTATTAATATACGACCTGAAAGCAACGGCGATTAACACACCGTTATGTATAACTGATATCAATTTATTGCGGGCACTCACTCCGCGAGTAGCTTCAATATCTTCCCTATAACGCCGTCCTTCCGCCTCACGTATTGTAATCCCTGGCAGATATTCTTCAGCAGGCAAGAACGACCGTCGAAGCCGTGACTGAAACATTTGCCAGATTTGGTGAATATTTAGTAAGTAAAATTATCGAGATAAAATAGAGCTTTTAATTAGAATTTATAAAAATCGTGGTCAATATAATATCGAGACAAACGTTACTTTTTTTCCATATTGAAATTAACACCATTTAATTTCATAAAAACAGCAGCAAAGAATGTAGTGACAAACACGCTTAGATATCGTCGCATCATCCGCCAATGAAGGAAGTAGAATTATATTTAATTCTGTGTAATTATATTTAATCTATTGATTGTAATTGCAATGATAGAGAAATAAAAAGAAAAGATGCGATGAAGAGAAAGATACTCAAACAAATCAAGAAACTGCAAACACGATCGTAGCAAAATCGAATATGATAGCAAGAACAACAAACAAAATTTATAGCTCGGCAAACTCGATCTTCAAGAAATATTTTTTAATTTTTGTAAAAAAAAGTATCTTATAAAGCTTATGCTTGATATCCTTTTCATCTTCCACAAAACGGATGTCAATCATAAACTGATACAGGTGCTTTTTGATGAATCAGAAGAATCAGAGATACTCTCGGTGATTTGCCTACCGAGAAAATAGTGATCGATTTAAAAAATCGAACTTCTGATATTCTGGGTGGATTTGAACCGGGATCTCTGGCACTGCAGAAAGCAGGTACGCGCAGCTCTGCTCCTACGCCGCGATCACAACATAATATTTACTTTTTGATTACCATAACCGTCCTTATTGCTCTCGAAAGCCGCGTCAAACATCCGCGCGTGCGTAAATCGATTTCGGCCTAAAGAAAACTGAAGGAAAAGTCTGTGGTCCGCGAAACTTCGGTCAAAAATCGTTGAAGGCGGCGCGCCGACGGTATTGCATCGTTGGCTGCTCGATATCTCGGAGCGATGGCGGAAGTCTTCGAAGTCAGCCAGCCAGAAATCCACCCGCACCCATTTTGCAGGAGGGTTCCAGACGCCCGACCGGCTCTAAACCATCCCCTGCCATCCTCGACGCTCGTTTGACCGCTCCCGACATTCCGCCGTCGCGTCCTCTCCTCGATCGAATCGTCGCCGTTTCTGCATTATGCAACGCAACTATTGCAGTATTTATTTACCTTTCGTACACGAGTTCGCCGCACTCGTGGACGTCCGGGACAGACCGGACGTTTCGGAGCCCACCGGTGGTCGGCAGCTCCCATGCCGCCTTGAAGCCCGCCGCTTGCGCGAAGATCGTCGTGTAGGGCAACGAGTTTATCTTGTAGTTAAGGCGATACTGAAAGATATCATTCATTTAATCCCAGAATTAATTCAAAGGAACAAAAGAGCCGAACAAAAAATAAATCCAAATGCTTGCTAAAATGAACTTCCCGCGTGACTCTAAAGACACAAGAAGCAAATCTTGCTTGAATATATTAAAACTAGTACAGCTTGATGCATTCAACAATACGTGTATTCAAATAAATCTAAAAACAGGTAAAAAAAAAGAAATAATCAAATAATACAAAATTATTCAGTTAATATAACTATAATACTCGAATATTCGCAGCTCTAATCGCAATCTAGCCTTTGATTTCATCACTTCAGCTGCTCAATTACGTAAGAGCGTGAGCAAAATAATTTTAGGTAGATTCACGCCTTCCACGTGCTCAAAGAGAATCCTCTTTCGAGAAGAGAGGCTCGAAGAGGGAGAAGGGATGCGAAATCGCGCGGGAATAAGTCGTGTGAGTTTTACCTGCAACTTTCCCGATCCTAAATCATAAGTTTGTATCAAAGGATCGCGGGCGTGTTACGTGAAAATCGCCGTAATCTTCATGAGGGAACTTTGTGAATTTCCGATCCATTCAATTCGTCCGTTCAATTCACCTCCGGCAGTCTCGTTCCCGGACGATTTTCTCATCTTATCCGAATCTCTGTTGCGAATTATTCCGCTATCTACGTGAAAACAGGTGCCCGCGGCGAACTCTCTCTCTCTTTCGCACGTAAGAACGTACACGGAGAGAATTTTCTTTTAAAATTTACCCTGAAAATCATGTTAATTGTGAGAAAATATATAATATTTAGGTAAATTTTACTGTGCACTACAATAAATTTTACTGCGAAATCTTATTGTAGTGCACAGTAAAATTTGCTTAAATACTATATTGTCTCATAATTAACATGATTTGCAGGGTAAATAAAAAAAAATTCTCTCCGTGTATTATTTTCCACCCTACGCCGCGGAAACCCCCCCTCCTTCATTCGTGATCCAATCTTTATGTTCGCCCATAAATAACGAGACACTTATCGTAAAACACACTTATCGTCGCCGCGCCGCGATTTCTTCCCCCTCCTCCCTCTCTTCTTAAGTTATCCTCTCATTATCTGCGCAAGCAATACTGCGAGAATCCTCCGCACCACTCGTCGATCTTTCACGAACAAGGTTCTCGATTTGCACGTATTTGTAGATATTGTTTGGACAAAAATATTTAAGGTTAGACATTTCAAATGAATTTTTGTCGTGACGCAATGTCACCGCATGACGCCTTTTCTCGCCTTGTATTTATTTATTTATTTTCTTTTAATTAAGTTGAGTATTTAGAATTAATACTTTATTTGTAATCACATCAAATCTATCAACGTCAAAACAATTGAAATAGACAGATTTGAGAGGCAGATTTGAAACATATAGGTTCATAGTTGATTCTTATTTCAAGATCGTCTCAATTGTCTTAACTTCAGATGCTGATACGACATTGTGATTATCTTATAACATCTTAAAATTAAATACTATATGTATATATAGCTCCAAATAAATAAAAAAAAATCACGAAAAACCTTGTCTGTATGAGCCTGCGTAGTTGTAAGAGCGTGAATAAATAATTTCAATTTAAAACATGAAATATGATATAATGAAATTCAATTAATATGAGAACCATCGTAACCGTCATGGCTCATCTAGGTTCGATCTTTTGTTCTCTATATTTTAATTATGGACTTTCACGTTACACATTATGCTTTAACTGACCATTTTATTGATTGACTGCAGTTGTGTAAGAGGAAGAAATCGGTACCATATGGAAAAACATTATGCATTAAAAAGAATCCACATCACGGATCGAAACATTGTAATTTAATTGTATCGTACGTAATTATCAATTGAATTTCATGTTTTAAATTTATATCCTCGATTATATCATATATCATGTTTTAAATTGAAATTACTTATTCCCGCTTTTACAACTGCGTAGAATCGTACATAGAGAAAACGATTTCTTTGGATTTAATAAATTTTATTGTATTTAAACAAATTTGTTATTTGAAATGGTCCAAACAAACCAATGCTTAAATCAATAAGTACAATTGTTTGAATTTGAAACCATATATATTTTTATCTTAAATAAATTGCATAGAACAAAATATTTTGCTATTTTCATATAAATAAATTACTTGTTTCATTGTTCGTGCTTATTATAATCAAATAATACATGGTTATAAGATATTACTTCAAATAATAGTGTTATTTCCGTCAAAGAAGTTTTTTGAACGAAACAACCAAATTTTTATTCAAATAAATAATGTTTCGTATAAGCATTCAATGAAATAAATATCAGTCAAATAAATAGGAATTCTAAATCTAAAGAAACCTTTTTTTCTGTAATGCAAGGTTTTTCGTGAATTTCTTAAAATTTACTTAAGACGATCTTAAATATAAGAACCAACTATACACGGAAAGAACAATTTTGTTGAAAAGTCTAAAAATTTTGCTAAAAATAGATCTGAATTATAATTTTTTGTTGAATCATCAAAATAATTTGTTGGAACGTTAAAACTGATAAGCATTGCTATAAAACGTTTTAATATTCTAGCAATCACTTTGACTTTTGCACAAAATTATTTTGACTATTAAACAAAAATTATTTTCAGATCTGGATTCAGCAAAATTGTTCTTTCCGTGTAAATACCGGCCATAGACGACAAAATTAATTCTTATGCGACTGTCTAACTGAACTGTCCGACAATGATTATTCACTGGTGTGTCCATATCTCGAGCGTCCAAATTGCGGCTCTCGACGTTTTTCTCTGTTTGCAAGAAACCTTCGAGAATGGTACGGCGCGAGGCGAAAAGCCTCGCCTTCAGGTTCCGCACGGTGTCTATTAACCGCGCGGAATCGCCCGGGCACTCTGCCTCACAACCGGTGTAAATGCGACAGAGGGACAGTGTCGTCTGGATCTGGCAAGCCGTTTGTCAGTGTCCCGCCATCTTACCGCGCGTTTGTAGCCGTCCCCCCTTGTTTCTTAGCGGCCGAAAATACGATAAGGCAATCGGATTTATGCGCATGCAGCTCAGCCAGAACCGCCGCCGCAAGACGAAGGTATGTACGCGCGCTGGATATCGCGTTGCATGCTGCATATAATTTTCCGGCTGCGTTGTAAAGCGCGTGTAAAACGAGCTTGCGGCGCGGCGGGGCGGATAAAAAGCACGACGGAGAACGCGATCTTGCGCGTTCCTTTGTCCGCGATGGGATTTTCAAAGATAAATCTTTCAGCGGTCGGGGAGCAACGCTATGGGAACGTTGAAGCGTTAAAGTAACAGTGTAAATTTGAATTTCAATTAGGTCGCGAATCAGCTCGCATACGCGTTCATTATGTCGATATATTATATGTTCTACGCATAATAAATTTTGGCACAAACGTACTTTGGCAAAAACGTAAAAAAAAATAACGTACGAGTACATATTTTTTTTAGATAAATCTAAGTTAATTATACTTTAATTAAGCAAATTTAAGCTAATGAATTTCAGCTTTCACGCAATTTTTTCACACAATACGCACAATCTCATATTTCTTTCCTATAAAACGTCATCATTATTAAAAAAATGATTAATCACAACGTTCACGCGCATATAACGAGGCGCTGATTAAAATAATCTGTTAAATATGTATATCCCCTATGTACGTACGGTGATGTATGTAGACGGGATATAACGAGACAACGCGTTGATTCATGCATATTGATTCTAAGCTCTGTTCCCGTCCTGCATGCCGGATAATGTACATGATAAACACGGCCGCGTATCATCGATACCGCGGTGTACTTCGTTGTAAGTGGGCTGGATCATTAACGAGTGGCATAATTCTTAGTGTGCCATACAGATTAGCTCAAATACTATGTAAGATCTCGGAGGTGCATCTCTTCTGCCTCCTCCGAGGAAACGGATTGTACCAACGCGAGAACATATACACGTCTATTTTTTGGAAATAAAAATGTTTTAAATATTTTAGGAACAATTAAAAATTACAAATATAACATATGAATATTGGAATGTAAAGTGCAACATATTTCAACGATAAATTGAATGTAAAAAGAGATTTATAATAATTTATACATATATGTTACATTTGAAATTTTTAATTGTATCAATCAATTTTATGTTAATAACATACGATTTGAGAGCGAAATGCACGCGTCTCAATCTTGTTTCCCGCTGAAAAATACACATTTATTGGCAATTATTGATTCCGACATAACTTTGTAATTTATGCAATATTTGCATAATGTATAAATATAAGCATTAAACTCGAATTAATTTAAACTCAAAATTAGCCCCAAATTAAATAAACATCGAGTTTAAATTTCAATTTAAATTCGGGATGGGGGGGGGGGACTACTGTTTGACTAATTTCATTCGGAAAAGCGATTTTCCGGCTTATCTTTTAATTTGCTTTTAACCGCGAACATAAATGTCGCGCGTAAAGTTGTCGGTTGTTTGCCCAGATCCGGGCAGCTGCCTCACAATAATCCAGCCGTTTCGTCGGTCCCCACCGGGGTAACCAACTGCAGGAGCTATACGGGCCGCGGTCCGCGCGTCGGTCCTAACACTCCGGAGTACACCAAAAATTGATGCGACTCCGCGTGTGTTAGGGGCATCTGCGGTGGCACCTGGTGTACGTGCCTACTTACGTCGCGAGGGCGTGTATAGCTTCATCCCGTATTAATGCTCCCCCCTCGCCCCTCCTTCCCTCCCGCGCGCTTATACACATCGTGCTTCAAAATATGTCCCGCCATCCGCGACTTCGTGCCTTTTAAAGCGAAAATACGGGCAGCTCCGATCGGTTTACATTAGCTAGCTCGGTCCCGCGTATACGTATGGCGCATAAATTCACCCTTTCTCGCGCTGCAGCGGCGCGCCGCGCCGCGCCGCGCCGCGCCGGAGGCGCTGCATAAACAGTGCCGCCGTCTATATGCACCGGCACGAGGAGGATAGGGCAGCGAGGGAAGGGGAGGCGAAGGGATGATACGGGAGGATGCTTTACAACATTGATTCTTACGGCTTTTCACGATGCGAACGGCGAATCCATTTGCCCCGCGTTTGCCCGCATTGACGTCCGCGCATCCCTTTAATACGTCCAAATTGCGAGCGATGCCTTTTTTTCCCCCTTTCCCCATCACGAACGTGCAGTGGATTTCCATTTCTATTTTACCGTGTCCCGTATTTCCCCCCTCAGAGCCTATTAGGAGATGGGATTAATTCCGCGTATTTTCGTTAATATCGTCGGGCGCTGCATACATTACAATTCGTTACATTCCACATCGCGATGTAATAATTGGTCTTGGCCAAATTTATTCTCGAATTACTGCTCCGCTCCCTCCCCCCCCCTCCCCATCCACCCGTGCAGTGCTTTTTCCAAACGCGAATTGGGAATAATTTGGAATTATACGATTCGATCGCAAATCGTATATTACGACGGATTTTGCGGGACACAGTCGAACGAAAAGCGAGTATACGTATTCCCATGACTCGCAATTGCAAATTTCTCCTTTTTCGCGCGCCGCGCGCTCTCGTCGAGAACCGTTCTCGATCCTGCCGCGCGTGGGTATTAACGAGAAATAAATTCCGCGCCTATCTCAACTTTCAATACGGGGAATTCGTCTTGGGAATAACGCGTGCGGCATCGGAGAGCACACGTCGGCGCGAGGAAGTTTCGAAGCTCGCTGCTCGCGCGCTCGTACCTATACGGCTGTCAAAAATAAAACCTAATATTACGAGGTTCAACGCGCAACTTTAGTCTCAGAGGCGTCATGTAGCGGGCTGCATTTCTGCAGTTTCGATGGAAGATAAGATATATATCCGCGTTACGCGTTCGACGAAGCTCTCTCTTCCTCTCTGTCTCTCTCCCTCTCGCTCTCTTCCTCTCTGAAACGCGAAATCGTATAAATTACGGGTGGTTGTTTTCATAACACGTCCGTGTATCGCGCGCGCAGCTGTTTCGCGAGAAGCGACGGGGAAAAAAAAGAGAGAGCGGTGCCTTTTTCAGCATTTGAATATCGGAGTATCGCGAAGCCATACCGATTCGCGACAGAACGATTCGAAAACGAGTGGTGGGGAGAGGGGATGGAGGAAAACGTGGGTGAAAAAACTGAAATGGCCGGAGCGAATTACTGGACGCGCGACGGAATTCGCGTTAAAAAAAAAAAAAATTCCGCGAATCTCTCACGGACGGGACGGTTGCATTCTCGCGTAATGAGAATGTAATTAATCGGGAATTGTACGCGTTATATATCTGTCGTCCAGATTTCGCCGCGCGTCAAGGACGCAAAATATTCCCGATGACATTCCCCGCGATAAAATTCGCTAGCGATATTCGCGCGCGTGCGCGCACGCGATACATATATGCATTTTGCGGAGTGATATTTTTGCATCGCGGGAAACTCTCTGCACACGCGCGCGTTCCGAACGCGTAGAAACATCCGTTCTACGTACGGCAGAATTTCAATTTAGCTCGTAGAAGGGCCGGGAGCAGAACAATCATTTGCGGAATGCTCTGTGAGAATATTGCGATCTTCGTCCATCTATGCCGATGTACGCGCGCGCGTGTGTATACATGTGTGTGTTTAGCCTTCAATCCTTTAGCCACTGCTCTGATGTAGTGTAGATGCTCGGAGCATTTACATATTATTAAGTCGCTTAATTACACTCGAACGTCCGCGCTATATGTATAAACGTTAGATCGATTACTCGTCACTCTGTGCGGCGCGTCTGAAACGTTTACCGCGTTGCTTTTCTCCCAAAGCGGCTCCTTTCTGAAACTCCTTATCTTCTCCTTAAGAGACAGACAACAACGTCCGTCACATTTTCGACGGCGTTTTCGCACATAATTTTTGCGGTAGTTTGCTCTGAAATAGCGGTAACGTGGAAAATTGTTAAATCGATCGTGTTCCCCGCCGTCAAAATTTGATGAATCGTCAAGTTAACGTTTGTTAACATTTTTTTTTCCATGCGCCGAGCGTTTTACGATGCAAACTGGTTTCAGGCAGTTTGCGCTGCCATATAACACCCAAAATGCAGCGCTACCTCTTCACGATTGTTTCTATATTTTAGCGATTTCTCGTTAAATTTTCCACCTAGGATCATTCAATTATCTTTACACAACTCGTTTACAAAGTTTATCTTACAGACTTTACGCACTCATGTTTATATTTCGAGGGCGCGCTCTGTACTCACTTGATTTTCACGTAAAAATCATGCGTAAAACAATCGAAATCTATTTTTATTCCCTCATAATTATTGTAGGAAGCGAATATTCTAGAAACATTTAGAGCGTAGAAAAACACTGTGCATAATATTATAGCAAAGCGAGAAGAAAGAACAAACGAAAGACGAGCCCTTTTCTCTTATTACCGAGCGTTAGGGTCAAGACGCGAGCGCAGGTCAGTTTAGTCGAGTTCGGAGTTGAGTTGACGACAGGCGAGTCGAACGGACGCTACGTTCGTTTCTGTATCATTTTTATAAAATACATACGTTTTTACTATTCAATCTCTCTACAACACTAACCGCCCTTTCCATATCCCAATTAACTACATATTACATTATTCCGCGATGAATGCAAAAGATACTAGATCAAACGGTTACTTTTAATGAGTTAACCAAAAACCGCGAGGGGCGTGGAGGCTTCGAATAATTAATAGTCGACTTGCTCGACGACACAAAGGACGACACATTTCCTTGCGCGCTCGACGCACGTGGCAGGAGTATCGCGTGACACTTACGAAAAAGGTGCTGCCTTTGCGGAAGGCCAAAGCCCTGACTGGTCTTCCGGCATGCGTGGGCTCCGCTGTCGCGAGCAGGATGAGATAGATACCGCACCAAAGCCGCGGGCGCATAATCGGCGCTGTCGAGAGGAGGGACGCGCAGGACCAGGACCAAGGGATACTTGGTAGGACAAAGTTATTGTGAAATCCGTTCCGAGTTTTGCGGAGAAAGAGACAAATAGAGAGGGATAAAGAAAGGGAGAGCGAGAGGAAAAGAGAAAGAGAGAGAGGGTCTGCGATGTCACACGCTTTGCGGCGGAATCCGGCGACGCTTAGCTCGAACAACCACTATGATCGCTCGTACAACGTGAGTCGGGAACCTCTCCGCGGGGGCTTCCCCTTCCTCCCGCTTTCAACTTCCATGCTCGCTCGCTTTCTCTCTCTCTCTCTCTCTCTCTCTCTCTCTCTCTCTCTCTCTCCTCCCTCCTCTCTCTCTCTCTCTCTCTCTCTCTCTCTCTTAAAATATTTTCGAAGAAGTAACAGCAATTGCGTCGCAAAATATCACTATTAAATTGTATACTTTATTGTATAATCTTATTTACAAAACGTTTTCATTTTTCCTCGATTTTGAAGAAATTTGTACGAGTTTGTGGGGCATCGAGAAATTCAACCGCA